TGCGCCGCGTCCCATTCCTGCCACGCATTTTGCGACGTGACGACAGCACGACCATGTTGACAAGAAAAACAAAACTGTGTATTGTCTTTTGCAGATTAGAATGGGACGGATTGGATGGGCGGGCGCGGGGTGTGCGCCGCGTCCCATTCCTGCCATGCATTTTGCGACGTGGACGACAGGACGTCCATGCGACGGTGCCAATGACGGCGACGACTCTAGAAGGATTTGAGCATGCGCTCGCGGCGACGCGCGCGCATGTCGCCCGCGTGGTATTTTTTGCACAGGATTCGCGGCCTGGGTGCATGACAGAGCATCGCGAGTGCACCGCGCGATGACGTGAAATCGCTGGATTTGACCGAATTCTTAAGATTCCTATGGTTTTCCTATGATTTCAGCAAGAGAGCCCGGGCAGGAAATTTGTAGTTTTTTGTGAAAAAGCATTGGGTTTTTGATGTTTTTATGTTGAAATGCTTGCAAACACACGGTGTTCGGTAGGATTCTGACATGAACGCGCGCGTGTGCTCTTTGTGGTATTTTTTGCAATGGATTATCGCCGTGGACGACAGGACGTCCATGTCGAGAGGAAAAAATAAGAAAAATGTTGATTTTGTATTGTTTTTTACAGGTTAGGATGGGACCACCCGGATGTGGCCCCTATCTGCCGGCCTGAGGGGGGAGTAGGAGTATATTCTAATAAGGAATAAGGATAGGAGTAGGAGTAGGAGTAGGAGTAGGAGTAGGAGTAGGAGTCAAGCTAGCCAGCTCGAGCGAGTCAAGCATGGCATGCCCAGTCCCACCCGCCCTCCCACAACATAAGAAGCAAAGCTGGCACAACTGGGGGCCGAAGTCACACCGGCCAGCCGGTTTGGTACAGCTGATGCGGCCGCGATGGCGGTTGCCGACGGGAACTGGCGAGCGCGTGTTGAATGCCGCGCACGCATTGCCAGACGAGTCGAGAATGGCCCGGTACACCGCAGGAAGCCAGAGGTGGCCGGAGGAAGCCCGACGGTCTGACAGGACACCCCAAAGCATTTTTGTGAAAAAGCATTGGGTTTTTGATGTTTTTATGTTGAAATGCTTGCAAACACACGGTGTTCGGTAGGATTCTGACATGAACGCGCGAGTGTGCTCTTTGTGGTATTTTTTGCACAGGATTCGCGGCCTGGGTGCATGACAGAGCATCGCGAGTGCACCGCGCGATGACGTGAAATCGCTGGATTTGACCGAATTCTTAAGATTCCTATGGTTTTCCTATGATTTCAGCAAGAGAGCCCGGGCGGGAAATTTGTACAATTTTTGTGAAAAAAAAGCATTGGGTTTTTGATGTTTTTATGTTGAAATGCTTGCAAACACACGGTGTTCGGTAGGATTCTGACATGAACGCGCGCGTGTGCTCTTTGTGGTATTTTTTGCAATGGATTATCGCCGTGGACGACAGGACGTCCATGTCGAGAGGAAAAAATAAGAAAAATGTTGATTTTGTATTGTTTTTTACAGGTTAGGATGGGACCACCCGGATGCGCCCCTATCTGCCGGCCTGAGGGGGGAGTAGGAGTATATTCTAATAAGGAATAAGGATAGGAGTAGGAGTAGGAGTAGGAGTAGGAGTAGGAGTAGAAGTAGGAGTAGGAGTAGTAGTAGTAGTAGTAGTAGTAGTAGTAGTAGTAGTAGTAGTAGTAGTAGTAGTAGTAGTAGTAGTAGTAGTAGTAGTAGTAGTAGTAGTAGTAGTAGTAGTAGTAGTAGTAGTAGTAGTAGTAGTAGTAGTAGTAGTAGTAGTAGTAGTAGTAGTAGTAGTAGTAGTAGTAGTAGTAGTAGTAGTAGTAGTAGTAGTAGTAGTAGTAGTAGTAGTAGTAGTAGTAGTAGTAGTAGTGGTGTGTAGTAGTAGTAGTAGTAGTAGTAGTAGTGGTAGTAGTAGTAGTTGGCAGTGGCAGTAGTAGTAGTAGTAGTAGTAGTAGTAGTAGTAGTAGCAGTAGCAGTTGCAGTAGTAGTAGTAGTAGTAGTAGTAGTAGTAGTAGAGGTAGTAGTAGTAGTAGTAGTAGTAGTGGTGGTGGTGTTGGTGGTGGCGGTGGTAGTAGCAGGTAGTAGTAGCAGTAGTAGTAGTAGCAGTAGTAATAGTAGCAGTGGTAATTGTCGTAGTAGTACCACTAGTACCAGTAGTAGTAGTAGTAGTAGCAGCAGCAGCAGTACTAGTAGTCGCCGTCGTTGTGGTAATACCAATACTAGTAGTTGTAGAAGACGAAGTAATAGGAGTAGTAGTATTACTAGTAGTGTTAGTACTAGTAGTACTAGTAGTAGTAGTAGTAGTAGTAGTAGTAGTAGTAGCAGCAGCAGCAGTAGTAGTAGTAGTAGTAGTAGGTAATAGTAGGTAGTAGTAGGTAGTAGTAGGTAGTAGTAGGAGTAGTGTAGTAGTAGTAGTAGTAGTATAGTAGTAGTAGGTAGTAGTAGTAGTAGTCGTCGTCGTCGTCGTCGTCGTCGTCGTCGTCGTCGTCGTCGTCGTTCG